TTCTTTGCACATGGGCCTAGTGTGGTTGTGGGAGTCGGCGGTGGGTTTGATACCTTGGTGTTTTTTATGCTTCTTGGTGCTGCAGCAGATGTCGTTAGAAGGTTCTTTAGATCCAGGAATGATTATGACGATGAAGATTACTGGTAATTTTTTGTGTAGAAGAACACACTTAAATGTATGATTATTTTTAGATGTATAGATCACATAACATGGTGAATATCACTTGATAAACTTGATGTCGATATAAATTTGATTGGAGTATTAGGAGTGCTACTATTCCCTACCAAATGTTAAGGTTAAGTGTTAAATGGGAAAAAATGAGATGTCACTCAAAAAGCTGGCATGACAAGATGATTGGAGTGTTACCATTCCCTTTAGCCTAAGAAAAAACCCAACATAATTACTTTTTTAAATTTTGTAGGTTTGTAGCTAAGTTATAATTTTTTTTTTTAAAAAAAAAAATATCCATATCCAAATTGTAATATATTTATCTAGTTAAATTTTAATATCGAACAATGTTTTCTGTTCGGAATCAAGACATATGATTTGTAATTAATAACTTATATATTAAATTTTATAAAACATTCAAGATAAATTAGTAATAATAAATTATTTAATATGTAAAAATTGAAAATTAACAATTGAAGAAGGTTTAGTTACGGCAAAAGCAATAAGATTTTATTAGAGACCCATTGGAACAAAAATCGAAGAGGTTGTAACGTATAAGTACAAACATGAAAAACAAAAAAGTTCTTTTTTGCTTTGTGCTTATCGATTCTTTGTTTTAATCACTCAATTTGTCTCATAATTGCCTAATTAACCACTTAATAATACACGCTTTTTCTCCCTCACAAACTCAAACATCCTTGGAAATGGCATCAGAAACTCAAATTCAAATTCCAGTAATTGATTTCTCCCCGCTAAATATGCATAATCCAGATAATCTTTCCATCTGGGAATCCATAAAAACCGACGTTTTAAATGCTCTCCATGACTATGGTTGCTTCGAAGCATCATCAGTCGTATCAATCGCTCTTCAAGAATCTGTAAACGATGCATTGAAACAGCTCTTCAATCTCCCATTAGAAACCAAACTTCAAAACACATCAGAAATAGCCTTTCATGGCTATGTTCAATCTCCCAAGGTTCCACTCTACGAAAGCATGGGAATTGGTAATGCATTTATCCCTGAAAACGTTGATAATTTCACCAATCTAATGTGGCGTCACGATAACCCTAAATTTCGGTACGTTTCTTCTCTTCAAACGCTGTAAATTTTGTTTTCATATATGGTACTGAAGTTGGTCGGGGTTCCATGGCAGCGAAAGCATTAAAATCTACTCCAAGAAGTTGCGAGAACTGGATGAGATAGTGAAGAGGATGGTATTCGAGAGCTTGGATTTGGAGAAGTATTTTGATGAACAAATGAAATCAACAAATTACCTTCTTAAGGTGATGAAATATCGAGCACCAGAGCCAAATGAATCCAATATTGGACTCCATACTCATACAGATACGAACATAATGACAATTTTACATCAAGATGAAGTTGGAGGGTTAGAAATCCAGACTAAAAACGATGAATGGATACGAGTGAAAGCTTCCCCAAACTCCTTTGTTGTCGTAGCTGGGGAAACTTTGAATGTAAGTAAAATAACTGTCACGAATGAAAGTTTTGTATTGCTGAGAGTAAGATTGATGTTGATGGATCAAAAACTACATTTTTTTGTCCCGCATACAACAACATGATTTAGGTCGTACATGACCTCCTCCTATCCATCATGAGAAAAGGGAAAATGACTTATAAGCCCAACAAAGTTTTCAAACCGTTCAAAAAACCCCAAGTATATATTTTGTCTGTTTAAGAAAACCCAACGAACTTAACTTTTTGTCTAAAAAACCCCAACTAACTTACACTTTTGTTGAATTCTCATTAGGGTCAACCAGCTAGTGAAAGTCAACAAAATTGACATGGCTTATTATGTGGAATTAAATATTAGGAAAATGACTTTTAAGACCAACGAAGTTTCGAAACTGTTCAAAAACCTCAATTATGTTTTGTCTGCTAACAAAAATCCAACGAACTTATACTTTTGTTCAATTTTCATTAGAGGCAATCAGTTGGCAATTGACAAGACATTATATTTAATGACATGGAATAAACAAATTAGAATTTCCCTTTATATATCGTTCTAGGGCTTGGAGAAGAAAAGAATGAACGGTGTCTATGTTCGATCTCTTGTAATGTCTACTTCTTCTTCCTCTCAATCGTTGATGTCCAACTCAAGATCTACAAAGAAGATATTTGATGATGCAAACCCTTGTGGATGTGGATGCCCTTCTCGGATTTGGACATCTAAAATGGAAGATCATCTAGAGAAAAAGTTCAGGGCTTGTTCGAATAGATGGATAAGTGTAACTGAAAGCTTTATCATGTCCATCTTTATTAGTTTTCATGTTTAAAGGAACCAAACAAATAGATAGAAGATGGACATGATAAAGTTTCAATTACACTTACCCATTTGTTCGAACAAGCCTTGAACTTTTTCTCTGGGTGATCCTCCAATGTCCAAATCTGAGAAGGGTGTCCACATCCACAAGGGTTTACATCATCAAATATATTATTTGTAGATATTGAGTGAACATCAATGACTGAGAGGGAGAAGGAGAAGTAACCATTACAAGAGAACGAATATAGACATCGTTTGTCTTTCTCTTCTCTAAGCCCTAACTCGATATATAAAGGGCAATTCTAATCTGTTTATTCCATGTCATTAAATATAATGCCATGTCATTTGGCAACTAATTGTATACCTAATGAATCTGGTTGCATCTAATGAAAATTGAACAAAAGTATAAGTTTGTTGGGTTTTTTTGAGCAGACAAAACATGATTGAGGTTTTTGAACGGTTTCAAAACTTCGTTGGTTTTAAAAGTCATTTTCCCAATATTTAATTTCACGTAATAAGTCATGTCAATTTGTTGACTTTCAGTAGCTGGTTGACCCTAATGAGAATTCAACAAAAGTGTAAGTTAGTTGAACTTTTTTAGACAAAATGTTAAGTTCCTTGGGTTTTCTTGAACAGACAAAACATAATTGAGGATTTTTGAACGGTTTGGAAACTTCGTTGGACTTATAAGTCATTTTCCCTCATTAAAAATAGCCCTAAACTTCTTGACCAATCCAGTCGAGTCTGATCCGATTGTCTTATATATAACAAACGCAACCTGAGTTTGACAACTCCTTATATGAATGTAATGCAGGTTTGGTTGAATGGTCGATTGCATGTGCCGTTTCATAGAGTGGTGATGAATGAAACTATGTCTAGATACTCGCTTGGGTTTTTTTCTGTACAAAAATCAAGCAACCTCGTAAAAGCATTTGATGAGATGGTAGACAAAGAACGTCCTTTGCTTTACAACCCTTTTGATTATGGAGAGTTTCTAAAGTTCTTTTACAAAGAGGGTGGCATTCAAAGCAAGTTCGCATTAAAGACATATTGTGGAGTCTCAGAGGGCTCGTGATGCTTCAAGATTTGTTGAGAATACTATCAATGAAAAAACATGTGTTTGTATACAAGATTTGGGGATTGTTTTGCAAAGTGTACGTTATTTTTATAATTTGAACACGTTAACTTTGTGTATACGGTGTAACTTTGTTGCTTGTTTGTACTTGTTTTGTGGCATGTTTAAATAAAAATCAGGAGGTGTTCAATGTCTCTTTTAAGACTTGAGTGGTTAGACTTTTTTCCCTCTTCCAAATGGCCTCCCAACAATCAACATCTGATCTATATTAAACATAGATTTTGAAACTGAGGTCTCTAAATTAGAACGTTTTTCGACATAAATTTTAGCACTGATTCATGGCTTGAGTTCACAGGGGTTGTGGATCTCAAATCCGAATGGTATCAAAGAGGATGTCTTTGACTTCTTTCGTAACAAATTCAAGGAATCTATCTTGGATCGGCCAAGGTTCTGGAGCAATAAATTGTGAAAAATCTTTTGGAGGAGCAAAATTTTATCCTTCAAGATGATTTCACACTTGATGAGGTCAAAAGGGTTGTGTTCGGCGAAACTAAAGAGAATACTACTAATTGTTCTTTTTCTCTCTGTCTTTGTGAAGCTGTCTTTGTAAAGCTGAATATGCAAAAATTATGATCACGTGATCCGGTTGTATTTGATCTAGCTTCTTGCTAGCCCATTGGTGAATAAATTTATTTTTATGCTGCCAGAAAAAAAAATCAATCATGATAATATGTTTTTACATATTGTTTATTGATAAGCTTTTAATAGAAACTATAATCTATAACTTTAACAATTCATTTTCTAATGAAAAGGATAATTATATTAAAAAAAATTAAATTTAAATATGATCAATTTAAAAGGGATAAATCAGTTTGTTATATGATCAATTTTTTATTAATTCCACAAAATAATTACCGACTTAATAAATGGTTAGGTTGGAAATCATGAAATTGTTCTTCATTGCATAAAAAAAAACCTTAAAATATTAAAAGACAAAGGATTTATTGTACAATTTCGTAATTTATATACACAATTTTGAAATTAAACTTTTTTCAAAATTTATTATTATTATTATTATTGCGAGAATCAATTTTGAAATTTTGAAAACATTCGCAATGAAACCAAATACCATAACTAGTGATTATTATATATATTAAGATCGTGAAAAATTTTAACAGTAAAGTGGCTGATGGGTCGGCAAAAGTAGTCCCTTTTTATTTGTCTATTGTCAATTGTTGAGAAAAGGAACACTTAATTTGCCACCCTGGTTTCGTTCCTTGAATTACATTTCCGGTCCCTCTATATTGCTTTGTGTGTCACTTCTTTTATACTGTTTCAATTTCGATTCGTTTTTTGTCGTGCCCGGCCTCTCAGTATTTGATGTTTATCTGTTTTCATTCTGTTTGCTTCACGATCCTTCCACCACCTTCTTCTACCCTTTGCTCCCTCCACCGCCAACATCTTCCTGATCCTTTATGTTTGACGCTTGCATCTCCGATTACCTCTTTCTCTTGGCGTCTGTCGCTGTACCATTAGTGGTGGAGGCCGTTACGGCTGTTAAGGTGGTGGTAGACGACGAGATTAGGGTTTTCGATGTCCGTACAAGTCGGTCTTGTAATTGAAGCTTCAGGTCTTCATACTTGCAATCGATCAAATAGGTATTCCCAGATACCCTTGCAAACTGACAATCGGTGGTATGCGGAGATCTACCAGTCGATCAGTCGACTTCTTAATCACAAAATCGGTACTTGTCTTCCGGTGCCGGAAGACTCCGTTCGTCAAATGGTCTACCGGAGACACTTCTTCGCCGCTGTTAGCGGATGGCTCTAACTTCGATGCTAGAGTTTTACGACATAGTTTGAGTACAATCGACAAATACAACCCGAAAGCGTTCTATTTCCACCGCTTCTCTTCTACTTCTTCATCGCTTCTCCAACCTTAAGTAATCAGTAGGCGGCAGTGGTGGTGGTGGTGTTATTTGGAGTAAGGAACAGAAGAGTTCTCTAGCAGGGGTATGCCAGGGCGCTGCTTCAATCAAATCACATCTATTACTATTGGAAATCTTGAAGCCTGGACCTCCATCGACCGGTACTTTGATTAATCATATGCTTAATTTCTTCTGTATACAAATTACAATACGGATTTCCGACTGAAATTGTGTTTCAATTGATTTGTAGGCAGAGATAAAATTTAAGGATAAGTTGCTTCCTTCATCATCCCCAGCCCTCTACAAGCCAGGAAGGCGATTGTTGTTGATGCTCCCCAAGGATTGGGCAACAAGGTATCAAATTTTATACTTTACTTCAAAAATCAACAAACAAACTAACCCATCTTCTTGAATATATATTACTAGATCATAACCAATGAACAATCTTGCTTCTTTAGGTTGCTTCTAACTTCAATGCATGGAACTGCTATTCATGTTCATGATTCCGAAAGGTACTCCAGTGATATTCCTTGCTCAATTCCATGTTAGGTTCTCATCTTTGGTCTCAATCTCTATCTCAGTTATATAGTGGGAGCTAATTCCCTTTATATTATCTTCTCTCAATCTAACAACTTAATATACTAATATGGTTACACTTTTACATAAAATTTTACATGCTTTGAAGTTGTTTTTGGTTTTTATGCTTGCAGAAGTGGGTCATACAGAGCCAAACAAGAAGAAAGGCTTTGTAAGAAAGATTATTTTTGCTTCATTCCTTATAGTATTATGTATAAAAATGTATTAAGTTTACATAATACTTATCGATTTATTACACAACTGACTTAATTTTGAAACTTACAGGTATTCGGCAGCTCATGTATCTGGAAAAATGAGAAAAAGAGTCTAGAATGTTGGTGTTCATGCTAAATTTTGTTGGGTAGATGAGGAATCTGAAGGATTTTTGCTCGGAAAGAGGATGGGCACATCATAAGCTGAAGGTACTTTGTACATATTCCATTCATTTTACCATTCAACCTTTTTGTTCTCTTTGATTTGACTAATGTTTGATTCCCTACAAGGCAGGAGATGTTTGCTCTACCCACTTGGCTTCTTAGTATGGCCATTTTTAATTTGAAAACACTATTATTTCCCTTTTTGCTAATAATGAATTGAATTGTCACATTGCAAATTCCATAATTGGTGAAAATGAAATAGTTATGTATGAATCGTTAAAAATGTGATGGTGAAAATGACAGTACCTTTTATATGAAATATGGTACAAAATTTAACTGGGTTGGTTGAAACATGGTTTTGCCTAATTCGTAAGACAAGTGAAACATTGTTTGCATAAAGTAGCTAAAAAAATAATAATAAACATTTTTTTCATAAATTGGTATTGCTTCTTTATTTCTATTTCTACCACGATTAGTTTTTGGCGCTAATCGATTCAACTGTCCATTTACCCGGAATACAGTTGCAATCGCAATGCACAAGCTTTTCATAGTAACCGGAATCAATCTGCTGCCTGTTATGCTCTTCGGGGTGTGCGACGGAGGTGGTTTCACTGTCGACTTGCCCACCGCCATTTCCACTGTTTCTTTTTTCTTCTATTTGTTCCACTTTACAGGTAGATCAATAGACTGCTTAGGGTATGTCAAAATACATGCTTATTCTCCTGATAATTTTTTGTTGGTATGATTGATTAAAGTTAAAACAATAAGATGAACGCATGATTTGTCAACTTTTGTGTGTGCATATTTAAGTTGTTAAGACTTTATTGAGTGATTCGATCGTTCTGTTCCTACTTTAATGGAACTGTGATACGGTGTTCTAAAGCATTAATCTTATAAAAAATTCTCTTCATTTTGGTTAATTGATAATGCAGATTGATTTAGATGTCGAGTGGAGGATCTCAAATGAGTCTGAGGAAAGCTCTTGGAGCCATTAAGGACAGCACCATCGTCAATTTGGCTAAAGTGAATAGTGATTATAAGGTATTGAAACATTTTGAATTTTTTCTTTCTATGATTGTTACTTTAATATCCCCTGTTTGTTTCATTTTGTAGGAATTGGATGTAAATATTGTTAAGACCACTAATCATGTTGACCACCCTGCAAAGGAGAAACATATGTGAGGTGTGTTTCTATAAAATTATTTGTTTGTGGTCTATTAACAGAAGGTAGCCCTTATATTTCCCTAATCCTGGATCCATTATTGCAGCTATATTTGCATCCATCTCTGCTACAAGACCTACACCTGATGTTGCATATTGCATCCATGCTCTTGCAAGAAGATTATGAAAGACACACAATTGGGCAGTATGTATATTGTATCCGTATCATTGAATCTCTTTATCTCAACATTTTTCCATAGAAAGCTTCATCTTTTTTCAGGTTACTTTGAAAACTCTAATTATTATTCACTGAGCCTTAAAAGAGGTGGACCCCACATTTCAAGAAGAGCTCCACATTATAAAAAGTATGCTACTTCACTATTTTTTATACTTTTGACCTTTATTTAATATTTATGTCACTCAGACCTCAAACCTAACTAATGTTAAACTCAAAAATAAGCAAGGGCAAAAAGGTAAAGAAAATTTCAAACTTGACTTAATATGGTAATGTATAGACAACTTGATATCTGGATGTAGTCAGAAAAATAAGCAAGGGCAAAATGGTAACAAATTTTCAAACTTGACTTAATATAGTAGTAATGTGTAGTCTGTAGACAACTAGATATCTAGACGTAGTCATAGAAATAAGCAAGGGCAAAAAGGTAAGAAATTTATGATTATGTATGCAATATTAGCTTAAAATTCATGTTTTAACTAATAAGAACTATCTTTCCTTACTGCAGGGATGGATACAACGATTTCAATACTTTCTGCATGCAGGTGAGCTTCCCGTAATTGTTAGCTTAATTTTTATGATTTTCTTCCAATATTTTTTACTTTTAATTTTGTATTTTTGCTTGCATTGTTTGTTTGTAATATTAGATGAGTGACCTGAATCCGAAGGTGAAGACGGTTGGTTTTTTTTTGTCTATCGCATAAACATCTATGTGTTCTTTTGGTGTTCTATATATATGTAACCATTTCGGTCAGCCTTCATTCCCTACGACCACAATGACAACAAAATATAAAACATGCCAAAACGTACCACAAACGACCAAAACAAATTATCAATAATCCTTGTGTGTTCAGTAAATTTGTTTGTTCCGAACCCCACGGAGCAAGTGATAATTCGTTGTTTGCATGTTTACAGAGATTTTTGTGCAGTTCTTTGACCAGTGGTGGTGAACATGCTTCGGTTGGATATGAAACATGTTCTATTTACTAATCTTGATTGTCAATTTCTAATTTCCTTAAAATGCTATGTGAATTTGAAGTAACAAATGGGTTTGACCTATGAGAAACCTTCTCTGATCTACCTTCAATCATGAACAAATTGACTGGGCACACAAAAGATGTCATGGGTTTGATCAACTGGTACCGGCTCTTTAGTCTTTCCTTTAATATTTTTTGATTGAAAGGGGCTATTAGTCATGTGTTGATGTCTTTTTTTTCATCTATTGTATACACACCATACACTGAATAAAACGTCTGAACGAGACTAAATTTCACAGTATTCAAGTCAGAGGAGTTAGGAAAAAAAACCCAAATAGCCATCTATGAATGAAAATCAGTAATTCTTTTTTACCTAATAAATACAGGTGAATAATAACTTCGTTTTACTTGGCAATGTTTAAAAATAAGTCTCGGCAATTAATTCATATCCTTCACCGCTTCTTTATTTTTTTAAATTAATTTATTATTTCTTTTTTTACTTTTTTTACTGTTTCAGATATTCAATTTTAGCAGGGGAAGATTAATAAGTAAAACAGTCGTGGAAAGTGAGGTAACCACTCTGTATTCAATATTCATTTTTTTTTACTTTTTTATTATTTCAGATATTCAACTTTTTTTACTCTTTGTCGCTCACACTAATGTTAAACTTCTAATTTTGTTTATTGGTTAATTTTACATGTCTCATAGGCTGGTCCAGCCACAATTGCAGACGCCATGATACGAGGTCTCCCCATCATTCTAAACGATTACATTGCTGACCAGGTAATTTTCTTATTAAAGTTGATTTTAGAATGCAAGGGTAAAAATATCATTTTTGTCTCAACACCTTAGAAATCTGATATTGTGCAGGAAGTTGGAAATGTACCCTATGTAGTGAAAAATGGATATGGGAAATTTTGAAAGTCACCAAAAGAGATTGCAGAAATTGTTGTTGAATGGTTTGGTCCTAAAGCACATGAAGTCAAGACTATGATAGGGCTTGATCTGAATTTAAACTATCACAGATCAGTCACAAACATTAAATATTAAAACACAACATAAATTCAATCTGGGCACATATCTGTTTCTTTCTGAGATTTTTTTTAAGAAGACTCAAAAAGGATAGAAGAACAAGAGGATAACATGAGCAATGGTACACAAAAATTAGCCGGAAAAAGAAATTTATAGATAAAAGCAGATGAAAAGTCAACATACCCAGTGTGTAAATGAGGCTAATTTTCGGTGTCGTTTTCGTGTTATGCTCTGATTTTTTCTATGTTTTCAAATGATTCCTTATTAAATCATTATACTTAAATTCTGAATATATGTTTTTGTTTGTCTGTGTAGCTTTAAGAATCCAACATATGTGTTTTAAAAAGAGAATAGATCTCAGTTTACTTTATTTCATTTTTAGGCATCATACTTTCATAGTCAACCAACTATAGCATCCTACTTCCATCACGAACGACTGATAAACGATGACACCATCTTTTACATAATGTCTCCAGTCGGGTTTCTTTGATATTAGCGGCGAATCCGACCCCCGCAAAGCGGGGTTCCTGTCTAGTTATTTAGTGTTATTGGTCATATACTATATATCACATCATAAAATATTCTTTTGGTGGTTATCGTTTAAAGTTAAGGAGATGGGCTAAACTAACCGGAACAGAGAACTATTCTGCATTTCTGCTCTGTTAACTAAACCATTCTTATCGTCCATCAATACTCTAATGATGTTAAGAAAAACCCAAATCGATTATGGTGACTACTAGTGGCCCTAATTAGTAATTATAATTGTCAACATTCAAACTGGTTAAAGCTGGTGGTTTGTGGTGTTCCATGGTGGCTGACTGGCTGGTGGTGGCTGATCATGGCGGCATCGATCAAGTTCAATTCACAATTCGGTCGACAGATGCTATCGTCAATAAAGAATTGAACAAGAAAGCATCCAAATTGGGCACCAAAGAACCGAATCAAGGGTCGGCTATGGCGATTGATCCAGCCATTGTTGCCAATTTGACGTTTTTTTTAACCAACTGTTCTTCTTGGATATTCCCGTAAAAACCAAAGTGAGGCCTTCAAAATAAGATTACCATCTCGATGATTCCAAAATGCAATCTTTTGGATCTTTCGTTTTGATTCAAGCAATCACATCGAACTAATTCGGCTAATAAAAGACTTACACAAAGACTATAAATGGATAAATGATAATTCCTAGTTCCAAACAACATAATAGAGACATAAATGGCTTCCGGAGAATATATTCAGCTTCCTGTGATTGATTTTTCATTGCTAAATTATGGAAATCCCAACACTCGTGTTTGGGATTCGGTTAAAACCGAAGTTTTTCAGGCGCTCCAGGAATACGGTTGCTTCCAAGCAATCGTATCTGGGGTTTCACCAGAGCTTCAAAACTCAGTATATGATGCAATGAAGGAGCTTTTTGATCTACCATTTGAAACAAAGTCCAAAAACACCGCCTCTCGAATGTTTCATGGATTTATCGGGAATACACCAATACTTCCACTGTATGAAAGCATGGGCATTGATGAACCTTACATGGAGAAACAAGCTGAGAACTTCACTAATCTCATGTGGCCTCAAGGAAACGCTCAAGTTTGGTAAGAATTTTACGAGTGGTAAAATGGGTTAGATATCATAAAATATAAGTATCAAAAGGTTATTATTCTAATTCTAATAATAATACAATTTTTTTAAGAGCTATAAAGGATATTATATGTATTTACAAACACTTCGTGGAGGCAAATGTTGTTTTATTAAATCATTTAAAATTACCCTTTTGACATATGGTGACACAATTTCACCTAAATTGTTTCAAATGAGTCAATGTTATCTATACATTTTTTCTGGATTTTTTTTTGTTGTTATGAATTTGACATAAATTGTCTTGATCCATAATGAATTAGTGATAATCTAGACGTCTTTTATAATGTATCCATTTTTGTGGTAGCGAAGACATCCATTTATATTCGAATAAGCTTTTCGAATTGGATGCAATGGTAATGAAAATGGTTTTCGAGAGCTTGGATTTGGGCCCGTATTTTAACGAATATATGGAACTAAAGTGTTATACACTTAAGCTTATGAAATATAGAGTTCCAAAGCCAAATGAATCGGATCTGGGATTACATGCACATGCAGATTCAGGTATAATGACGATTTTACATCAAAACGATGTTGAAGGATTAGAGATTCAAATGAAAGACGACAAATGGTTCAAAGTAAAGCTTTCACCACACTTGTTTACAGTCATGGTCGCGGAAACTTTAAACGTAAGTAATATAAACATGGTTGAACCTGAGAACTCTATCATAGATTCTCAGCTGCTTAATGCTTATAATAAGTTTGAAAACTTTGACATTCAGGTATGGTTAAACAAGCGATTGCATGTGCCATATCATAGAGTGTTTATAAGAGAAAACAAGACTAGGTTTTCGCTAGGGCTTTTCGCATTGCCAAAAGTCGGGAAACTCATGAAAACCATGGAAGAGATGGTGGACGAAGAGCACCCGTTATCCTTCAAGTCTTTTGATTACGACGAGTTTATCAAATTCCTCTTTAGAGGCGGTCAAGGCAAAGAGAAATATGCAGTAAAAGCCTATTGTAGCGTTTTAAACTAAACAAACGACACATGATAGGCACTGGCCAAGTGTCAATTTTTGATGTTTAAGGATTTGATTTTGAAATGTCCCTAATAATGAGAGATTTTAATATTTTATTTTATAGAATAAATTTAAGTATATTATGTATGGTTTTGATTCTTGGTTGAAATTTCTCCGTGTTTCATTGCTTGTATCGTTTGCTCATCCATCTCTTGTCTTTAATAAAAAGTCTTAATTTGCAGTTGTCGACTCCTGTATCATCACAATCTATTTTTTCATAATTAAATTTACAACTTGATTGTATCGTGAGAAACTATATATGGATACTTGCTTTTGTATTGTTATAATCGCTTTTCAGTGATTTTTTTAATTGTTAAGTATGCATTTGTTTTAAGTTGTGTTTGTTTTATTTCCAAATTGGAGGGGATTCGTTGATTATTTTATTTATATAACTAGGTGTGAAACTCATGCTTTATATAAGTTAATTTAAAAAAAAGTTAGATATAAAAGTCTAAATATTTGAGAACTTTAAATTTATAAGAAAATAAGAAAAAAATAATGAATTGTTAAAATTAAAATGTTTTTTTATATTTTAAATTTAAACAAATAATTTAAATAAATAAACAAAAGAAATTAATGAGCTTTAATTTGGAAATTTGAAATTAGAAGGTAAGTTTATTAATGAAATTGATATCCATTTATTACTACATTTATTGTAATTATTACATTAAAATATTATTTGAAATTTAATAAAATAAGAAACTCATAAAATGACATTTGGAAAAAAAATAAATCAAAATAACCAAAAAATAAAATTTGGCAAATTGAATGAGATTGTGATATGTGGCAAAAAAGACATTCATTTATTAGAGTAGATAGTGTAATCACATTTCATATTTTACTAGTTCAATAAATTTGTTTAACGATTAAAATAAAAGTTGTATACATCAATATCAATTTATGGTTGACTTGTATGACTTAGTATAAATTGTATAAAAGATACTAAATTTGTACTCAATTTTCCTAATTTATTATTCGTCTTTTCTATCAGAGAATCATGATTTTATGTAATTGCTTCCTAAGGTCACTCAAGTGGATAATGCCAAAATGGTGTAAGACAAGAAAGATTGTCCACGGTAACATCTCTTAAAGGAATTCTTTTTTGTCTTTCTTACACCAATCTCGTATGGTGAACCACTTAAGCGATCTTAGAAAACTATTACACAAAATTATGATGCTGTGAGAGAAGAAAAAAAGAAGAAGAAATAAGTGAAAATAAGTACAAATAAACAAAATGGTTCAATTTAACCCAAATGTTTGTCAATTCAAAGCATATGTTGAAGCCACATCGCCTGTTTGCATAGTAAACTACTGAGAAACATGAAACACTTGATCAAATATAAAACACTTATCAAACCAGTCGATTGGTTAAAGTTGCCACTAAAATATAAACTTAGTGATTTAATTGAGAAAAAGATAAAAAACAGTATTAAAATCGAAATTTTATGTAAACTTAGTATGTTTTATGCAAATTGTTTAACGTGTTATGAGAAAACATTGCTCAAACTCAAGGAACATAATGTTTCCATGCTAAATAGGAGCATTTATAAAGCATCGTGCCACAAATTCCTCCAAAAGGGAAGAAATTTGCATAATATATAATATATACATGTAAGTGGCATTTTTTATAAGTAAATGGATTGAATTTAATTTAATTTCATCTCTTATTTTGTAACGTCCGCAGATTCGGTACTGAGCAATAAAACGACATTTTGATAGAAGATTATTTAAGATAAATAATTTTAACCAAACTTATACTATATATGAGAAAGATTGCGTACATATAAAGAACCTTGAAATACAACTTCGTATGAAGAAGTTATGTTTCTCTCAAGTTTCGCGATTAAACCGACGCGGCTATGTGCGTTGTAAAAAGTGAACTTTAGATAGGTTGTAGTACCATAAAGGTGAACTCGTGCATATAGAGATGTCCAAATCTGACTTCATATGAATAAGTTATGAATTTTCTAAGTTTCATCGCAGTAGTGTGCCGACACAGAAATCGAAATTCAAATCGGTTGATTGTTAGCCGAAACAATCTAAACGAAAATTGAAGATCTCGTGAATATGAACACGTCAATATAAATACATTCGAAAACCAAGTTTGTATGAAGGATTTATGAATTCCAAATGGATTTTAACATTCTAAACCGGTCTAAATATGAATTTTAGTCGGAGCGATTGGTTAAAGTTGCCACAAGTGATTTAATTGAGAAAAAAATAAAAAGCTATATTAAAATCGAAATTTTATATAAACTTGGTGTGTTTATGCAAATTACTTAACGGTTTATGAGAAAACATTGCTCAAACTCAAGGAACCTAATGTTTCCATAGAAAATAGGAGCATTTCTAAAGCATTGGTTCCACAAATTCCTCCAAAAGGGAAGAATTTCGCATAATATATATATTATATACGGTAAGTGACATTTTTTTATAAGTAAATAGATTTAAGTGGCTTTAATTTCAGCTCTTATTTTGTAACGTCTGCAGATTCGGGCTAAGACAATTAAGATATACTAATAAATAAAACGACATTTTGATAGATGATTATTTACGATAAATAATTTTAACCAAAGTTATAGTATATGTGATAAGGATTCCATACATATAAAGAACTTTGAAATACAACTTCGTATGAAAAGTCATGTTTCTCTCAAGTTTC